TTTGGAGACAGCATTTCTGTTCTCTTTGGACTCTGTGAAGCATCAATGGTCCAATATTCATTGCCAGTTCGTTGTTTCAGATGTTCACTGTCCCTGATCTCTCTCTCTCTCTCTCTCTTTACTCTCTCTGTAGATGACATGCATTAAATTCGATAGCAACCTTCTTCTGGGATCAACCTTCTCTGTCACACAGCAGGAATAACTCAACCTTTTCATGCTTTTACAGTACCATAATCAGTCACGCATCTGAAATTTAAAAAAAGCTGTAAATCACCTATGGTTTTAGATTTGTATGGACAAGCTGTATTTCTTTGAGATCATTAGATAATGGATTTTTACCTCAATATTGCATTGTACTTATAAATTAAGTTGCATTGCTCTATACATTACCATACCTAATCATTTATTGATAGTTTTTTTATTCAATTAGCTGCTGCATATACCATCTTGGGAAAGAGAATCGGTGAAATTATAGGGAAAGAAACTGAGCTTAACTTTTATGAAATATTTGTTTTCTAGTCAAGCTTCTTTGTGAGTTCTCTAGCTCCAACAGAGTTGTGTTAGGTGCTTATATGGCTTTTATCATAGTGCTCAACACTAATACAAGTGATATTAACAAGGTGGATTGGTGAAACTGGCAGACATCCAAGGTAGGTATGTAGAGTCGCATCTGGCCTCGTTATTCTTTTAAATAAAGCTAGTGGGGTGTAAAGTTTAATTTGTTATGATCTTGTGCTGCCTTACTGGTTTACACCTAGCAAACATTGTAATAAATGCATTTAGTCCTCCTTTCCAAAGTAAATGACTTAAGTGACCACACCACATGTATGTACATAAACTTCAGTACTTTGCCAGTGCCAGTTTTTCCTTCCTTCATTTTCTTTTTTTTAGGGTTTTGCTGTCTGTAAGTCTTTCTTCTAAGATATAGTTATAATTGTTTTAAAGAGATGGCCATTAAGAGCTACAACATTTAACTAATTTATCACAAAACTGTCAGTGTGGTTGATGTAATTTTAATGCAGTAATTCTTTATGTAAGTTCTTAACTTCTCTCCTAATGTAGATCAGTAGTGTTTCCAATGTTTCTATAAACGTTAAATTTTTGAAAACCCATGTATGGACAGGAACAGAGGGATATCTCCAGGCAACAACTTGTTTCCTGCGAAATATATGAACAACAAAGTTCGTATTGCATGCAGTTTATATTGTTAATACGCAAACTGTTAGTCTGTTGTTGTTGGATTTTGTTTTTTCACCACCAGTAAGCTATCGTTGTACTGTAACTATAAAGTTTTTTAGGTATTTGCTGGAAGATATTATAGTGTAATTATGATATTGCTAATTTCAAATTAATTTGTTCTCTTTGCCTCAATAATAGTTATGAACATACAGCTACCTGACAAATAAGTGTATACATTGTCCTACGATACTTGGAAAGAAAACATGAATATGATTAAAAGACTACATAATCAGAATAAAACAGTAGATAATTTGGCAAACTTTACCTTCTTCTATAAAACAATTAAAGAAACAGCTGAATTAGTAAAAAAAATTTCACGCTACACAATAAGATGCAGAGATAAAATGTTGTGATTTTTTTTTACTATATTACTTTTATGTTTAGAACAAATAAATTCAGTATGCATTCTCTTAGAAATAAGTAATACACTTTCCAAAACATGTGAACTTGCAACTTCTCTGTACAGTGCTACTAAAAATAGATTCAAATAATAGGTTATCAACCACTTCAATTTATATATAT